CTCTGTTTCGCAAGACCTGCAAGGAGAGAAAGCGAGAGCCCCATGAGCTCCTGCCCACAGGGTCAGCAGGGCAAGCAGCAGGGGCTGGTGAAAACAGCACCCAGAACGAACAGAAATCCCCACAGCCAATGACTGGGCACACAGTTCTCAAACTGGTCTTTTCCAGGATCACAGGTAAACCCCCATCAAGGCGTAGGCACCTTCATCTTAAGATTTCATTTAAAATGTCTATCTCTGGCTACTTCAACTTTCAAGAAATCCCAGGGCCTGGAGACCTGGGAGTGGCTTGAGAGCCTGCAAAAAGCTTCACACAGCTCAGAAGCATAGGCAGCACCTGCCGGCAGCGTAGGCTGGTGACAGTGCTTTGAAAGCTGTCAGACATGTAGGCGAGAAGCTCCCCAGGGCATCCCCTACATGGAACAGGGATGTGGCTATAGAGATATGTACCCCAGAGACCTTTAACAACACGTGAGAAGGCTACGAACAGCTTCAAGATCAGCTCTCAAAGTCAGACAGGTCAATTTTGCTCCTGGCAGAAGCAAAATTCTGCAACTGTTGCAAAAACTTAACTCAGGTTTTAAATATTTCCCTGCCATGAACATCCTTCTGGTCTCCACCAGGAGGGGAACAAGTTGTTTGAAAGGGCTCCCAGCACAGACACAACAGGAGCCTACAAAGAGCCCACCATGCTTTGTGCCGGATATAATTTGATGTCAAGAGCAAAGTGGCTGCAGGAGGGAGAAAAGGCGGCATGGGGGCTCACAGAGATGTTGCAGGCAGCCCCCCAAGGCTGGATGCCCAGTAGCCGGCCATCAAGGCCTCACGCAAGTAGCCAATATGCTGAAGACTACAACACAAGAGCCAGCAGCTGAAGGCTGAGACACAATCACACTCCACGCAAATCAGGGGGATTTACTTACTGAATCAACAGTTTCATGTTGTGAGAACCCCACAGGGGCAATGCCGTAGATGCACACAGCAAGGATGGTGATGAGCGAATGCACAAAGGTGACCCAGTAAGTGAAGAAAGGCCTGGATGGAGGGAAAGGGAAAAGATCAGAGGCAGAAACCCAGGCACATTACATCCAGTCACAGAACACAGGAGGAAAGCTGCTATTTTTCCCCAGGGACCTTGGCAGAATCTGGGGTACAGGGCCAGGATCACCTAGGGATGCACAAGACTGGAGGCAATGACCTAAGGCCTTGCTGGCAGACAGACCCTGTTTACTCTGACTCCCCCATTACACTGGGCAAGCCACCCTTTCCCAAGAAAACATCCATGACAACACATAAGCCTGATGCCAAAGCGTGCTGTGTGTCTGGAATAATAACTTTAGGGGAATGATCAGAGGCAGGGATACCTGAGCCTTCCTGTTCATCATAGGACAGTGGTGGTGGGGCAGAGATCTGCAGTGCCTCCAGGTAGCAGAGATACAGACACCCAAAGCAACTTGAGGAGCAGGGTGTGCTCCCAGCGCACGGTGATGCTAACATGCTGCTCTCTGCTGCAGTTTGCACTGTACTTCAGGGATACAGACTGGGGGGTCTTAGCAGCAGGTTTCACCCAACCACCCCGAGGCAGCAACCTGAGTCACCAAGGGGCAACAGCAATCACTCACTCCCTAGTTTTGTTGGGACCCCTTCTATGACTGCAGCTCTCACCTGTGATCGTCCATGTCCTCAATCTGCCGCTTAACATAGCTGTCGATGCGCTTGCGGTATGTACGGTTTGTCAGCTTCCCCACCATACCCAGGCCATACGGCCTCTTCTCCTTGGCGAAGAGCTTCCTGACAGGGACGGCGATGCGCTGGCCACGCTTCTGTGGGCTGACACTCACCACCTCCTGCCGCAAGCGGACCTTGGGCTGTGCCAGGGCCCCATCCTTTTGCTTCCTCCAGCCTCGCTCTAGTGGACTGCAATAAAAAGCAGGACAGCAATGGTTTCCTTCTCCATGGCACAGCAATGGGGACCAGCCCTTCCCTGGTCTTTGGTGTCAGCAGACCCTCTGTCTGTCCCACCACAGCTGGGCTGAGCAGCAGCTCATGGCAGACAAGGTGCCCTGAAGTGGAAGCTGTATTTCAAAGAGTTACACAGCGCCAGTTGATGAAAGCACAGGACTACACGCAGAAGGTGGCACAAGGCAGCTGTGCCAAACTAAGCCCCATTGACGAGGAGCTCCCAAGGCTTTAAAGAAGTGTTTCAGCAACAGGCTAAAATGGGGAGGCTGCAGCTGGGCACATCTGCAGCCTCATGCACATCTATTTCCTCTTCTACTTCATTCCTCTTACTCTGCTATGAAACTGAAGTGTAGTTTAGCCCAGCAGTGGAAATCCCCACCCTTGAAGCACTTTACTGTGATTGGACTGGCAAGTCAAACCCCCATGCCCACCAAATCGGACAGAGGAGAAGAGCAGGAATCCAAGCAGCTTCCCAGACCAAGAAAGTGACACTGTCACATGCTGCAAGCTGTGCCAGTTACCTCTCACGATCTGTCTTCCATTCCTCCCTTTATTTGCACCGATGCATGCAGAGAATGAGAGAGAACAACAAAACTAGGCTTCAACAACACAATAAAAATCCCAAGCATTACTGTCTAAAGGAAGGCTTTTTTACCAAAATGGAGTATGTGATGAACGTTGCACAAGCTACTGGTGAATAGTACCTGCTTTGTAAGTCTCCATCGTATTCAAATGTTTTTTGTATGTCTTTGCTCTTAAATAGCAGTCTGGAGGTCAGGTCTGCAGCATTCAGACCCTGACCAAAAAAAAAATCCTACCTACCATTTCACCCTTACTCACTGCCTAGCACTGTACTAGGCATGTCCCTGCCATGCGCTCTTGTCTAGTTTACCTCCTCTGGCTTCCTAAACGACCCCCTTTGCACAAAGACAATGGTTATCAGAAGTGGTCAGAGAAACCAGCTGGCAAACTTTTTTCTGAAAGATCACCAGAGCATTTGGAGAGATCATGACAGCTCTGAAGTATGGACAAGGAACAGGATGAGGGAGAATCTGAACCTCTTTAGCAAAAACCACTGCTGTCAAACTTTAGCTATTTTCAATATTGCACCTTGCAGAAGATGCATTTTTATAAAGCTGAAAGTCCCAACTTCCTCTTGGGAAGTCCTTCTCCAACAGAAAGAGCAGATTCCACTGCAGCCTGCTCTTGCCCCAAGAGTTCAAGTGGTTTCTGTGTTACGGACGTGCTGTTTCCCAATATTTCCGGTGCTGGGCTATCAGCCTATGCCAAAATAAACACCTGGCCACCTAAAAGGACACCCGACTATGATTCTGATAACAGTTCTCTGAAGTGTGAAAGCAATGTATTTTCCTCAATCAATAGAACTATTTAAGGAGATCCAAATGGAGCCAAGAAAACTGAGACCGTCTCAGAGGAGTGACAACAAACTCCCACCATTTGCTGCTTCCACTTATGTTAAGACTGAGTCAAGTTCTTGGAAACACTTGAAGGGAAAGCGCCAACACAGCAAGATGGGCCGTGAGCAGCAGAACCACAACAAGGACCTCCCTGTCTGCTCCATGTTCACACCCAGCGGAGCTCTCTGCTGGGGTGAGCTGCCAGCTAAGCTAGAGCTGACTCGGAAACGACACAGAGCAATTACTCAGTACCAGTTACTCAGGTGGAAAAAATCTAGGCATACAATACAGTACCACCCACATATTTGTAGGGCTCTCTGCATCGGTGCCACGCCTTTCTCTCGTTTCGAGTGAGGAATGTAGCCCAGCTCGACACTCAGCAATGCTTCACACCGTTCCTTGGAGCAAGACAACAGCTCCTGGTGACTGTGGCAATGGCAACAGTCTTCTCATCTTTGCTACATTCTCTATAGCCGAAGGCTGGGCCCCCAGCATCCTCACAGCTGATTTAAAGCGTCTTTTGTTTCCTCAAGGCATGATACAGTCTCCAAAATGCATCACGTGAGGCTGGAAGTTGCTGGAGAGACTGCAGAGGTAGCCTCAGAGTCACCTTTCACATGCCTGGGTAGCTGGGGCAGGAGATCTTAAGCTGGGTTTAAAGAAAACCCATCACTGCACTGCTCTTTGAGCTCTGCACCCACAGCACTCAGATCTTGGCTTCCCCCATGCAGGAGGTCCCACTCTGAATGGGTTCGCCACCCCATGTTAGGCTTTGGCAGCTTCCAGGAAGATACTCACAGTAGCAAGTGGCTTCTTTCAAGCTCATTTTTGTCCAAGGCACCTCCTGTGAGATCTGTCTGATCCTGAGGTTTCACCTCAGCATCTTTGATTGCAGCTTCCGATGGCGACTCGAACACTTCATCCGGATAAGTAGAGAGCTCCTCATGAAGGACTCCTTCCTGGGCAGAGAAACAGAATTCCCCTCAGAAGAAGCCAGCATCACATTTGAGACACCAGCCGGGCAGAAAGCAGTGCTGCTTTCTGCAACGCACAGTCCTGCCAGACCTAGAGTCTCACACTGCCTCTGGGGCCAGTACCACACCACAGCCCTGCCCCTCACCCGAGCGAAGAAAGAAGTATCGAGCTCATCTGGAAAATCCACCGTGTCCTCCTCAAGGAAACTTGCTGGGGTGAAGCTGCGCCGCTGAGCTCTCCTCAGGGTGCTGTCCCTCACAGAGCGCCCCTGTAGCCAGAGAAAGTGGCATCAAGTCACTGCCAGAAACCTGAACCCCAGGCACATGCAGAGCCACCCCAGCCAGCACACACAGAGACCAAGTGCTGAGCTGGTTCACGCTCATGTGTGGAGCACAGCGGACCTGCTGATGTGCGACAACCTCCTGGTGAGACTCACAGGTGTTACCCCACTTCTCAATCCACAGTGCCCACTTCCCGTGTGGGTGAGGCTTGCAATGTGCTTCTCTACCACGTATTGTACAATGTCTCTGACCAAACCGCAGTGGTGGTACTGGACACAGCAAAAAGGTCACTGGACCCAGGAGAGCAGACACGTGGCAGGATGAAGAGACTTGCAATAGTAAGAGCCTCTCGTACTTCTTCCATGACTGCTGACCACGTGTAGATGGACCGCCCAGAGGTCCAGGCAGGCTGAACTGGTCCTGCTGGAACACTCTGAGGCTGCTGGCTGTGGGAATCAAAGCCCCCAGGCCAATAAAGGGAAAGCAAGACCTGTACCAAAACCTAGCCATCATCCCTGCTTCTTTCAAATCCTGCCTCCTAGACACATGGCTGAAACAGAACAGAAGATGGCTTGGTTTCTTCCCCTACACCACTGCTCTCCCCCATCCTCTCTGCTCAGCAGCTCCTTCCCTCTCACCCTTCTCTCAGGGCAGAGCCCCATCCTGCCGCCAGACTGGTCCCTGCCCTCCCACAGACAGTACCTTCACCAAAGCTGCAGCTGCTCGGAAACTCATTTTGGCAACAGACTCCCGTTTCCGCCGTCGTGGGAGGCGATTGAACCCTGAGCGTGAGCTGGTGAAGGAGCAGAGCGACGTGGCGCCTGGCGTGATCGGTGTGTGGGGGATGCTGCAGCCATCATTATCATCAGCCATACGGAAAGCTCGGCCGCGGGCCAAGGGGTCTATGATCTGCCGAGAGAAGAAGCCATTCAGTCCATTCACCCCCAAACCCTTCCCTACCACGTCCTCCTCCCTCCAAGCAAGCATCTTGAGACCATGACGGTGGCCTGGCTCCTGGGATTGACCAAGAACCAGGCTGGACAGACCAACAAGCAATTCTACAATAGGGAGATACAGAATAACCTGTTGCAAGCTAAGCCCTAGTTGTAAGCCTCAAACCTAAGTCCTCAAGCCTCTCCCCCTGCCCTTTTTTTTTTTTTCTTCTTTTTTTTTTTTCCTTTTTCTTTTGTTGGTATTGACTATTTTCACCCAGAATGTTCCTGACGTTCACAGGAGACTCCAAACCTCCTTCAGCCCTTCCTAAGCTCTTGGTTTCATTCATCTCCTGTGCCATTGAGCTCTACAGTCAGAGAATGTGCTGTCTGAACAGGAGTTTGAGAAATCCCTGAAAACAGCCATGCTCTTCCTCCAGCTAGTTTCCTTTCTGATACTGGACAGCCCAGGACTTAAACAGTATTCTGTTGAAGCTTAACTGTATATTTACATCTGCTTCCATTAATTAAGTTATAACAGCTGGAAAAAGCAGACAAGCTTCCGGGAGCTGCAAGTCCTTCTTTGGGACTCTTCAGGCCAAAGCTCTCACTTCTTCCAAACATACGAATCAACCTAATGAAAATATTGCCTTCAGCTACAAACTTGCCTCTGTCCTTACATCATCACAGCTGTGGTTTCCATAAGACTTCTATGCTTTATCCTAATGTTTTACGAGCTTTTTTTAATCCACGGTTGCACACTCAACAGGAAGCTTTATAGGCTTACACCTACTGATATCATGTTCTGATTTAATGTAGCCCACATAGAGCCCAACAATACTTCTAAGTCTCCTGTGACCAAAGACTAACTGCAAGACACTTCAGCTAGTAAGAGAACAGGAAAGAGCACAACAAGGTGAAACTTGATTGAAAGATGCACAATATTCTCCTCTGCTTCAGTGATGCAGCCAGGCTTCAGGTCACAGACTAACCTGCTTTGGAAGGAATTTGTTCCCCCACTTGCCCAGGTTGCAGTGGTGCTCACTAATGCACAGTAATCAACCACATCGATTACTATCGCTGAATGGAGCAAAGGGAAGAGGTGGGATGTTGTGGGTTAGTTCTGAAGTGCTGGTAACTGGATGTTCTTGACTCCCCTGGGGTCACACTTGAAGGTAGTGAGTAGGGGGCTACCAGATGCCCTTTGCAGGCACTCAAAACCGTTTCTTTCTGAGGACCCATGAGCAGAGCTTTAGTGCCGCCGATGCAAGAGACACTTTTCAAAGTCCTAAAACATAACCAGGCTTCTATGAGGACAGTAGCTGTGCTACTGCCTGCATTCTGCTTGGGACAAAGATCCACTAGGCAAGTGTCCTGAGTGATACCAGGCCTGTTACTGTATATTTGGATCCAGGATACTGGCCACTCTGTGCACAACAGAATTTTGTCCTTGAAAATGGCAGCAAAAAGCCCAAGCTGAGAGCTTTTGGACATGCTGCACCCATCTAATCACCACCATAGTCACAACACGACAAACACGTCTCTGAGCCTATCACCAAAACATCTGAGAGATCTCAGCCAACAAGAAAGGCTGTTGAAGGAGGGAGTCTGCCAAACTGTATCTGAGACTTGAGAAGTGTCTAAGCGTGGAGCCCAGACATGTTCAGGCAAAACTAAGCCCGCAGATAGGTCACAGCTGCCAAAGTGGTAAAGACACCGTGCAGGAAACTCACGATGGCCTTGACTCTGTCCCAGGTTACTCACCTTTTGCATGCCCAGCTGGCAGGGTCCGACATAGAGCGGAGGAGGAGTCTCTGTGCTTGTTAGAGAAATATTGTCCTGACTGGGCAAGTCCATTTCCCGGATGACCTGAGGTTTCAGCTTCCCATACCGCAGGCTGCAGTGGCGGAGGCTCTTTCTCTGCCATTTCTGAGTAGCGTCGCTGTCTTTGCTCACCCCAAACCAGTCCGCTGTGCCTCTGAAAGATGCCAGCATACAAGTGCAAAGAAGCATTATGTTTGCTTGGACTACGCAAATGAGAAGACAAAAACCCTGACGGTCACTTCCAGCCCACCCCAACTCAAAGACAGGCAGAACTCTTCCCCACGAGCACCTCGCAGCCTGTCCTCAGCTTGTTTTAGCAACCTGACAGATGCTGGCCAGAAATGTTCAACCATCAACAGCATTCTGTCTCTTAAGACAGAGGAAAAATGACAGGAGAGATTCACTGTGTGTAAAGGATGGTTTGCTCTGAGTTTTTCGAAAAAGAAAGAAAAAGAGATGGAACAGAAATTCAGAAAAGAACTTGGTGAAAGGTGTGGGGTTTTTTTTTTTCTTTAAAAAACATCTATTGAAAACACTTACCATCTTCAGGCCAGCTCTAGGTCCCCATTGTGGGATTGTACTGTTTCATGGCTCTGTAGCTTCTCCTGAGAGCCACCAGAATGTTCTCTCCTAGCCTCCCCCCACACTCTCAGGATATCCCTAACTTCTCCATCTCATGCTGCAGGGTTTCTATCCTCCTCAATGGTAACATTAATGGCAAATGTTTGCTGTGGTCCTGATCTCTGCTAAGGCAGACACACACAGTTGTAAGCTGCTGGTTGCAGAAGTAGGAGCGCAAGGTTGCAGCCATGAGGTAGGTTTGCTGCTAAGTGGCTGCTGTCACAGAAGAGCATGGATCAGAAGCAAAATCCCAAGGAAGGCAGAGAGGGATCAGCATAAGTCAGACTTAACAACCTACTTCAAATACTGCAGGACAGCTGGTACCCTAAACCTACAAAGATCATCGCAGCCCTGCCAAGCCTTTCCCACTGCCGTTAATCCTTCCTCAGAAGATGACAAGCTGTGTCAGTTTACAGTTGTCTGGCCCAGGTGTCGAAACCTGAAAGTCCTTCAAAGCCAAACCCGAAACCCTGGCCTCAGACCCCCTGCTCAGGGGTAGGACTCCCAGCTGCTGAGAAGCAAGACCTCACAGATCACAAAGGGAGTATTAAAACATACACCGGGTTAAATCTCGAATTAGGTCACACAGGGGAACTGAGTCAGTGCACCGGAGACAGGAAACTAGTCCTGTGTTTTGCACCCTACCAAGCAAAAATACCATCAACCAACAGGTGAAGGTGTCCTGCCACCACGTAAAAAGATGTGAATTTGAAACCCACAGCCTTTCCAGCTAAAACCTCCAGATGCAAACCACCATGCGTTGCCCTCAGCCTTTTCCGTTCTCCCAACGATCCAGAACAGACCCTTCAGCAGGCGTGAGATCACGTGGGCCATTGCTAGATCTCACCTGACCTCACTGACCCAAACATCTCCAAATGCCTCCAGCGAGTCCACAGGGGCCAGACCCCAGAGACGGGGCTACGCGCATGTCTCAGGGCACTGCTCTGCTCCCATGGACCCACATCTCGTCAGAGCAATCTTTGTCTCCGTTCAGAGCGGAAGGGCCTAGGGTCAGCACCTGGCCTGACAGACAAACCAAGCCTATAGCGCAGAGGTAATGCTCTGGCCATGCAGATGCACAGGCACAACACACGCCACAAAACAGTCTTACAACTCGGAGGGCTTCTTACAGACTGACGTAACCAGTATTTCAACACCAAGGTGACCTTGGGTGACAAGCCTGTACATGGGGTCTCTCCTCAAATGGAGAGGACTGAGAGTCTTTTGTGCCCATACGAGCCTGCTGATGAATGGCCCATTGCGCCAACAGCAGCGCCTCAGAGCCCTCTGAAACTGTGCTCTCGCTAGCCTGGAAGGACAAGCAACACCACAGCTGTTTTGCACTGCGAGGACCACTCCTGAACTGCCAGAGACCACTACTGGTCCAGGGCCAGGGTAAAGAGCTACTCTCTGATCATAGTCAAGATAGTCCAGAAGAGCTGACTACAGAGTTTAGAGTATCTGGAGCGCCCTGGGAAGATGCTGAACGCCCTACAGACTCCCTGGAGCACTGTAACAGCAACGAACCAACGTCAGAGGTCAGCTCTCGCTCTTCTGCCGCCTTGAGCTAACCAGCCCTGAAAGCCCAAGACCAAACGCAAGCAGTCGCCAGGTGGACACAGTGCCAGGGTCACATCTGGCCAAGGGTAGCAGTGAGGAGGTAGGACAGGAATGGAATCCTGGGCATTAGGTCCAGTCCCTGCCACACACAAAGTCACATAGTCTGTTTGATTTAAAAGTTTACTGAGCTCCAGCCTCGGGGTGGTGGTCGATGGGCCATTGTGCCCTGGACTCCCGGAGTGGCTCATCTCCTTGGTGCTAAGTAAATGAAGACCTCCACCTCAAAAAGAAGACAGTCACATTTCGATTAGAAAAAGCCATGATGTCAACAGGGAAAGATGCTCTATTCCATTCACCGGCTTCTGAGCCCCGTCTGGATCAACATGACTAGCATCTATTCGGTGCTGCTTCCTCTCCTTCCCCTTCTGCCCCAAGGAGGCTTCAGGGCCAACATATGCATACGCCACATGTTGCATTGATGCTAGTGAAGGCAGGCTGCGCTATAGCTGCCCTGGGGAGATATTCCAGCTACGGTGAACACCAGGAGGTTGACAGCTTGTTAGGAAAGGCAGGAGGGAGTGAGGCTGGTGGGTGGACAGCTTGTTAGTCCATGCTACTTATTGACAGCTGCCTACATGTTTAGTAGGAGTGACAATTGTTTTTTGTTAGAAGCACACATTAACTTTCTCACTCCCGCCTGTTTGTAGGCCTCCTGGCCAGCCCTGGGAAGGCAACGTGGTCCCAGCAACAGCCAGAATCTGTGCAGTTCACAACAGCCCTTGCACACACATGCAGGGGTGGGTTTCACACTCAGTGCTACCAGTACCTGAAAAACGATCGGGGCAGGGACTGCCGCTTTCTCAGGGAACTCCTGCCCACCCGGTGCCCATGAACGGGCAGGGTCTGACTCCTTTGAAACCGTACCTGTCTGCTGCAAAGAAAAGAGAGCTGAAGGGAAGGAGGCTGCAGGGCTGTGGAAGGGAGCAGCAACCTGCATCCAACACCTCCCCGACTCCTTCTGTAGCCCCATCGGCAGCAGTTGTGCCACACCGGCACATGACAGCGGCCTCCAGCTGAGAGTGTGACCTAAGAGAAACAACCAAACTCAAGCCACACACCATCATCTTTGAACGCAGGAGGCTGCTGAATCCTTTTGGTGCATCCTTTTGGTGCAGACATAGACCTGTTGGAGCGGGTCCAGAGGAGGGCCACAAAAATGACCAGGGGGATGGAACGCCTCTCCTGTGAAGAAAGGCTGAGAGAGTTGGGGTTGTTCAGCCTGGAGAAGAGAAGGCTTCGGGGAGACCTTACTGTGGACTTTTAGTACTTAAAGGGGACTTATAAGAAAGATGGGGACAGACTTTTTAGCAGGGCCTATTGTGACAGGACAAGGGGTGATGGTTTTAATCTAAAAGAGGGGAGATTTAGACTAGTTTTAAGGAGGACATTTTTTACAACGAGGGTGGTGAAACACCAGAACAGGTTGCCCAGAGAGGTGGTAGATGCCCCATCCCTGGAAACATTCAAGGTCAGGTTGGACGGGGCTCTGAGCAACCTGATCTCGTTGAAGATCTAGTCCAACCCCGTGGCAGGGGGGTTGGACTAGATGACCTTTAAAGGTCCCTTCCAATCCAAACTACTCTATGATCGTATCTGAACCTCTGATGTCCGTCTCCTGTTGCTCTTGAAGATACCAGGGATATTGCAATCCCCCTCAAGCCCCAGACCTCTGTGATCTGCCTTATTCTGCCCAGTTGCCCAGCTACAGATCCCACTGGCTAGCTTTGGACACCGGTGTGTGAAACCATGGAGGTGTCAGCAGGCCAAGATATGATCTGCTTAGATAAAAGTGTCTGATGCCACTGGAAGTGCCCTGGGCCCATTCTGGTTGACCCTGGCAGGATCTTGCCTGGTGCACAAGTCTATCTGTGCCACATCTGCTGCCTTGCATGGACATCTCAGACACCCTGGGAGACTGGAAGTGGTGTTAGATGCCTATACCCAGGCACATGAATCACTCCGATGCCATGTTCTGGACCACACAGGCTTGACCTTAGGCTCACACTTGATCTGTATCCTCCAAGCCCCAGGAAATAAGATGGTGTGGAGTCCTGCTGCCAGAACAGTTTCACATTCTGTGCATCCTGGGGGCTTGTGTTAAGCAGAAAACCTGGCAGTCAGCCTCCCTGGACTCACAAAACAAGTCCCCAAGACACCTTTATGGATGCATGGTCTTCAATTCTCCATTGCATCCCTAGCTCTGCTAAACGGAGTGCAGGTTTTTAGGCCTTTCCTTGGTACGTTCCAGTTCCCTGTCCTTGTTTCTGATCCACTTATTTCATACTTCCATTGCTAGTGTCACGTCATGTCACGTGTGCATCTCCTGCAGTTCTGCCCCTTGGAAAGTCCTTCCCACTGCTACACCTGCTCTCCTACCCACACCTCACAGCGCTCTGTAGAAGTCGCCCACAAGCTGCGAGTCCTCCAGGAGGAAGAGACTTGACCACCCCCGTGCTGCACCACCGCCTGCATGAGACAACTCAGCACTGCAAAATAGCATTGAACCCCCCCACATACATACTCCGAGCAGGAGACTCCCAGGACTTCCAAAACCATTTGTGCACCTCTGGGCCACTCCCTGTGGGACCGCATGTACTCCCAAGGTACAAAATGCCTACACAGACCATTAAGCACAGGCAGGGACGCAGCCACCAACCTGAGCCTTGGCACTTCCATTACAGCCTGGGCAGGCAAAAGGAAGACATGTCACAGGGCCTGTTGGTGTAATGGCCACACGTGTCTGCCTATTGCCCCGATGCTAGGCAGGACATTAGCATCTTCCTCCCTGTGTGGGAGCTTCACCACCACTGTCCAGCACTCCTTCTTTGCTCACTGTAGCTTCATATGTCTTGTCTGTCTTATAGGGTAGTAGCACTGGGGGCAAATTTGTTCCCACAGCACCAATGTGGTTTGCAGTTCCCCAACCTCTCCACCCCCCACACAAGCTGCATGTTGTGAGGACCTCCGGGAGAGAAGGTTACCCTGACCCTCCCACACAGTGCTGCTTGTCAGGGCCTCTGCAGCATTCTCCCAGGATATCCCCTTATCCTTGCCTAATTGTCCTGGCAAGGAGCGCGACAAGGGCAGGGAGGTGAGGGAAGAAGCAGTCTAGGTGTGCAAGGACAGCCTCAGGCAGGCCCAGAAGCTGCCCACAGCCCTGAAGAGAGCAGACACTGCTTCATGGCTCAGCTCTCCTAACCTCGCAAGAAACAGGATCACAGAGAGCTGCTGTGGGAGAGCTTCACCACCAAGGCAGCTGGGGAACATCTGAGGCAAAGGAAAACAGTGCGTGGGAGGTCAGTCTCTCCCATGGCTGGAAAGTTGCTTCTTTGTGAGTGGGCGAAGCCTGGCTGGCTGAAAGTGCCCCTGACCTGTGGAGCTCCAGGGATGCTCCTGGGATCCAGGCAGGCCTGAAACACTGCCAGGGATACAAGCCAGGCATCTCAGGAGAGCAGCTGGGAGAGCCACTCCCTTTGGACAAACTGGGATAGGCCTTTGCCATGGGGAGGGAAGGAGCATCCAGCTGTGTGGCCGTGTCTCAGAGACCCTTGGGTCATGGGGACAAGTGATAACCCTCTGTGCAGGCATGGGGGACAGGACCGTAGCAGCCTCTCCCTACTCTCCATCACCCCCCACAACCATCTCAAGGACCTGCCAATGAGCTAGTGCTAGGAGCCAAGCTGCTGAGAGCCTTGGACTGCTCAGGATGGGCTTCTGCCTGCCCCAGCAATCATATGCTCTCAGATACCGCACCAAAGCAAGCCCAGCAGACCACATCGTACCGTCTCAGCTAAACATCAGGGCCTGAGGTATCCTGTTACTCAAAAACAGCCAGCTCCCCAGGGCATGGGGGCAGTGAAAATTTGTCTCCAAGTGGCAAGAACCGTTCATTGTCCTGATCACCACAATCTTCCTCCCAGCACTTGTCTCCTCACTTACTAAAGACAGGCTATATAGCACCACTGGGCTTATATATTGGGGACCTATCTGCACCCACCCTCTTCTGCAACCTCATGATAGATAACAAGGGAGACAACCTAATCCTGCCTTGACAGCATGTCACTTAAGTGCCAAGCAATGGGACAAGCAGAGGACCATAAATCCACAAATAAAGGATGGCAATGGATGGCAGAATCCACTAAAGCAGGCTCCATGAACTCAGTGTCTCACCTCTTGATGGTCTGGGTGATTGAGGTCTGTCGTTGTAGCACCGGTCTCCTCACTTCATTAGGCAAGGAGGGCACACGGGTGTTGTCGGCAGGCATGCTCACACTTCGCAGAAAGGCCTGACGTCTTGTTGGCTGCAAAGAAAAAGCAGGAGGGGAGTCAGTGTTCTCATAGTGATGCTCTATAAAGCCAGCCAGTCAGGTTGTGAAACATTTAGTTAGCAATTCAACAGCCGCCCAACACCCCAACCACAAGCTGGATGCATGTGGTTGGGCAGCAAAAATCAGGCTAACAAGGACTGTGTTTATGTTAGCCAGGAAAGGCTCTGCAGAACAGAACAGTTAGCATCAAGGACACAGCATCTGCGTGTTGCGGTGGGTCTCAGTTCAGACTGGCTCTAGCCTGGCCCATGGACCAATGTCCATTTGTAGATGGGGTGTATTACCTGAGCTCCTGCAACATATCCTCCTGGCTTTTTTCTAGCCAGAAGGAACCCAGATCACACACTCCTAGACCACTCCACAAGGTGAACAGAAGCACAGTAAGCGAGATTTGCTTCATAAGTGACTCTGGATCTGCATTAAAAGCCTGCAAGAGCTGTGGGTGGGTCTATGCTGTAGCTGCTGCCTGGTGCAGGCTAAGCAAGCTGGGAAAGCCACATCAGCTTTGTTCATAACCTAATTGTCTGGACACTCAGGTCTGAAAGCTCCTGGCATGTCTTGGCTGAATGTCACCTACCAAATATGACACAACTCACCAGACTGTTCTCAGCTCATACAACTGCCTCCCCAGGGCTGCTCTGGATTAATTTTTCATCAGCTTGGCAGAGACACCATCTCCCATTTGTAAAATGCTAAGCAGACTGTCCCTCTGGCAAGTGGAGCTCTGATCAACTGTTTCTCTGGTCAGACCCTGCCTCTGCTTCAAGACTACTTGTTACTCCAGCCCCTCTAGCCCAGAAAGCTAATAATTTCCACTAATCTTAACATTTTTGTTATGTTTTAAGTGAAAACAATGCATAGATACTCAGGTTATAAGCCAAAGGAACCCATTATGCACTCTTATCCTGACAGCCTGCGCTGCGCACACTGGACCTCCAGAGAACATCACCTCCACAAGCTTCCATCGTCAGCACAGAGTGTCTCTCCAGAAGGTGCCCAGCTGGATTTAGAGATTTCAGGTAAGAGAACATCCATCAAAGCCTTAAATAAATGATTTGGAAGGTTTCAACCTGCACTGTTAAAACCCTGCATTCCACTTCTAATCCCCGCAGACTGAACCCTGATCACTTTCCTTCCAAGGGAAGACCAGGACCAAGATTTATCTGCCAGAAGTTGTCACATAACTGAAGTGCATTTTAGTCCCTGGATCAAAGAATGGCAAAGAGGCCAGTCTTTGCTATTCCAAGCTCAACATAAGTTCCCTCTTAAGACAAACTGTCCTCAGCTCCCCTCCAGGGAAGCTATATAACCCGCCATTTCTCTGATGGCTAAACCATTCTTTCACATAAGCAACTGAACCCAGGCACTGCACCCCACCCATGGAGCTGGGCAGTAAGAACCCTCCGGCTCTGCCTTTGCTGCAGGCAGTCTCTGTTCCTGCAGTAAGGTCACACAAGCAGCCAGCAATCATCCTACCCGGGTCTCACCCGTACACAAGAGTTTTTGCCATCTTGTAGCAGAAATTCCTGTTATTCTTCCTATTCCCAGCACAAATACAGATGTTTTACTCTCATACTTTGCACAGTTCCTATTAACCTATCACCCCATCTCTACTTCACCACTCTTCAATGTTACTTATTTCTCATCCCACATGATTTTCTTATGTTCCTCATGCTGGTAACAGCTTTGTGTTGCCAGTAACTGTTCTTTCTCTGCTGTTACTGATGAAAGCCTGTCATTACCTTGGCTATTCACAAGTCAGATCCATTCCCCGCTCATTTCAGTGTGAGCTCCAGCACTTCCAGGCCCGCATGTTTGTCTAGGAACCCTTCACTCCTCCAGTCCCCTTAAGAAATGCTTGTTTGAATACCTCACTCCCACATCCCCCAGCCAGGACACTTTTCACAATCCCCACATCCAAACATCACATCCACTGATCTGAGCACATCAGCAACCCACCCTCATCCCTCCCACATCCCCTTCAAGGGGGAGTTAATTACTGATCATAAATTTACCCAATGGCTCTGTCCCTTCTCACGCGGCCTCGTGACCTGCCATCACACGCTGCCTTTCTCTCAGCCAGGACTGCCGGAGACCACAGGCACAGGCATGCTCTCAGCGCAGTGGGGCTCTGCACACCCCCTCCATGGCTCCGCAGACCCTCCCTCCTACCCCCAGCCTCTGTACCTGCACAGGCTGGGGCTCTTCTGGCACCGACACGGGCACCGGCACCGGGATGTCCAGTTTTAACCATGGTGGCTTCTTCCGCTGTAAACTGCTCGTGCTGTCGTGTCGTGCCTCCGACATCGTCCCACGTTTGTCCTTAGGCCTAGGAGAGGGGAGAAATCACAGTCAGAAGGGAGCCAGGCTCATCCCTGACATGGTACATGCCCGCAGGGCCAAGCAGAGGGCCCTTCTCCAGGCTGTGACTGATGGGACCCAAGCTCCACATTGGATGACTTCCCAAGGTTCTCCTGAGGGTTCAGGTGTCACAGCTTGTGTCCGCCCTGGTCAGCCAGGACCAGACACTCGAGGAGACGGCGTGTTTCTAAGGCACGTAGGACCTCCAGCCAGGTGCCAGAGACCACAGTCACAAGTTTGAGAGTCACCTCCCATTAAGATTTTTGCTGAGACTACTGTGAGGTCCAGATTCCTTAAGAACCAGTCATGAATTAAATCTTAATGAGATCTGGATCCAGTCCAACCAGCTAAGTAACTGCAGTACCAAAAGCCACTGACCTCCCTCTAAAAACAGCTTATGACTCACACAGGCACCCTTGCCCACCCAAAGCCAAGCGCCACACTTTCCTACCTAACTACTACTTAGCAATTAGCAAGTGGTCATTTCTCATTGCTGGTTCTAATCTCTTTTAAATGTAGTCATTTTCTAGAAACACGACATAGTGCACAGAGTAATATAAGTATAGCATGAACGTTAGAGAACTGGCACTAATCCTGAACTAAGAGCGGT